AACAACGTGCTGCAACGGCTTCATCGCTGTAATTGTCCTCACTTCGGCTCTCACGTCCTTCACTTTCGCTCGCACTGTGCTAAGTCGACGTTGCCTAGGCCTATCAGAGCTCACTGACATCCGTCGCGTTTGATCTCTACCAACCTTTTTTCTTTCAACGATGGAATTGATTTTCGGAATTGCTGGTGGAATTGGAACTTGGTTTATACTGTACTGTTCAAATATTTTAATTAGTTGTTCTTTCTGACCACGACTTTGTGGCCTAATTTTCCCCGATGTTGATACCCTTTCGAAATACTCAGATCTGCCAGCCATCGAAAGCGTCTCTGTACGAAATGAGTAGCCTGTTTGCGGCCTTACTATTGTGTCGTAGTCCCCAATGACGTCATCTTGGAAATCGGACGCGCTGTCGTCGATATTCTCCTTCCCAGTAGCTCTTTTGGTTGATTTGCTAATTCTACTTAGCAAGCTCCGCTCTGAGAATCTCTTTGAAGGAGGTGGGATATGGCGGTTGCTGGAATCTTTTCTGAAGCAGAGAGCATCGAAGTTCATTGTTGCTGTATGCGGTCTATGTTTCACTGCATCTCCTCTTATAAAATTGCTTGATGATCTCCCACGTTTTTGTTGGTCAACAAGAGGTGGCATCGATTTAGGCCGTCGCAGCAAGGACTTTTTGGAGCTTGTTTCTGTAGCTCCTAAAGTTTCACGACAAAATCGTTTGCTATAATGTGACTCAAGCCACTGCTCGCCGTTCCAGTAGTTCTGCATGTCGAATATCCTCGCAGATGCACCGTTCTCTTGAAGAAGCCTTGCGCATTCTACGTTACCGTTTTTTAACGCGAGAAGATACGCTGTAAACCCGCGCTTATTCACTACATCCAAGGAAAGCCCATAACCTGTAATAGGCTGTAGTATTTTCTGCAATACGTATACATCACCCTCAATAGCTGCATACATTAGACATGTGTTCCCATCCTTGTCCGTTTGATTTAGGTCGGAATCAGTGTACTCTAGTAATCTGTCCAATAAGAAGTCGTTTCTGGTGGCGCATGCGTACATTAGCACGGTCCTTCTGAACTTATCAACAACATCGACATCTGCACCGTGTTCAAGCAATTGCTGGCATACAATGTCACGCCGTTTCAGATTCTTCATAAAGCAAGCTACCATGAGTGGGGTTCGCCCTTCTTCATCTTTTATGTTGACACGCATCCCTACGGCGAGGAATGCCCTTATTTGCTGCAACCGCTCATCGACAATGGCACAGTGAAGCCCCGGCATGACCAAGAGTACTGATATTTTTTTTATTACGAGCTTCGAGTTTCACTAAAGGATTAGAGATAATCTTCGTCCTAAACTGGATCTTTTCACCTCGGTATCGCTATAAAAAAGTAACATGAATTGTTAAAATCAGAAGTGACCTCATAGCTTACTTTACTACGCACTTTATAACAACACTAAACGCGAAACCTTCGAAAAACGTATTATTTTTACACTTGACACTCTTATTCCTAATGGTCTTAATAAACAATTTTCGTTTCTTTCCTAATCCAGCTACTATTAATTTTTACCCTATCTCATCTATACGCTTTCTACCCCCTCACATGTTTCCATCTCGTCTTACTTTCTACGCGTATTCCTACTACGTTCCATATACGTTCCTGTTATATATAGTTAGTCTTTTTTTCGATCCTACTCTTCTATTCTCTTCTTAACCGTTTTTCCTTCTATTCTTTTACCTGATGAAGAGTTATGCTCGAAACGTCGTACTGAATGTTAATTTCTTGTACAAAGTCGTTATTTTATTGTATCAATTTTTGTTCAATTCCATGTTTGTCTAGATATAAGATTAAGAACTATGATATTGTGACGGTCTCCCGTGGCCTAGCATTGGTTGAATGCATTTTGTCTATGGTTGAGCTCTTTCCCCGTTTTACAATCAACTGGTTAGTATTAAATTTAGTAAAAGCATGTGTCAAAAACCTTGGTTCTTACAATTCTACTTTCATACTGACAACAATGATTTTGTGTTTGATTCGTCAGCTAGGCACATGATGCTTCAGTAAATGGTTCAGATAAGTATATTGTGGCTTTTTCGCACACATACAATGCAATCCTAACCACTCATAAAAGATCCTGTGCAACCACTACATCCTAAACTTCGTATCACACTAAACCCCCTCAGCCTAATACAACCAAATCGCTTCTTAATAATCACAACACACACTTTTTCATTAAATTACTATTTGATTTGCTTGCTTTATATATGAAAAGTTTCTCCCGATCTCCTTCTTCTTTGATCTGTCTTCTCATTTTATCATCAGAAGCAGGAAATTTTTTGCTGCCATAGCAAAAGGTTGCAAAACTCTGGCCCGCGACCGCGCTGTTTGATTATGTATGTTTGTGATGTAAAATGCATAGTGAACATAAATAGAAAAGCTTGAAGGTTGCAATCAATGCTTGACATACGTATTAAATTGTTCCTGAAAAAAGCATACTCTTTTTTGTGAGTTTTCTTTCCTTTGTGTATCTTTGTTCCTCTCTTTGGTCAGCAAACTCTAAAATTCATCATCTCAAAGCCGATTCCTATGCTTTGGCGATGTTATTTGTCTTCAAATGAAGTGAGTCTTCAGGTACGTTTACTTATTAATTTTAGTTTATCGAGTGGCCACTGTGACGTCAAATTTACGATTTTTCCAATTAACTCTCAGTATGTTAATCTCATCACAGTATTCGAGTTACCTTTATGTGACTTAGAATTCCAACAATGGATTATCTTTTGCTCTTTCCAGAAGATTTCTTCGTCATCTAGTCTACTTTTAATACCAACCTGAAAGGTTTTTATTCAAGCCATTCCTTATATAAAACATCAGTTGCCAGTTTTCGCTATCCTTTAGTGATCCAGGAGTGAAACAACAATTTCACGCTAAATTTTACTGTTTCCCTTTTAAAGAGGAGCATTCAATAATAAACAGCTCAGCTAAAACGTCTTTTGCCAAGTCTATTTCAAGAACACCCTTGCAAATGCGGCCACCTTTGCTGCCCATCCAATATTTACTATTTGTTTGTTTCTAGGTTAATAGATTTCTTTTATCATGAGCTTTTCAAAAAAAGATTACTAATAAAGATTTCTGTATGCTTGACAGCCCCACATTGAAGTAAATTCATACTTCGCTATCCTTTCTTGAGTTTATTGAACTAAAACCTAGCTTCTGGCTTGAATAAATTTAAGAATTCCCCTGTCAAAGTCGGCAGTTGATTTACTGCTAAGGGTTGAGTCTGTTTTTGCCTCGGAAGCAACCGTGAAAATAAACGGACCTGAAGGAAACCATAATGGTAACTTGAAGAAATCACCAGTAACTATTTATTTTGATTTATTGATTTATCTATTTCATTTATCTATTTATTTTTATGTTTATATATTTATTTATTTATTTATAAACGTATCTTTTTTATGCATTTACCTAGGTTATTACACCAACAGCGTTTTTATTTATTCATGTATTTTTAAATATAATTTTTAATACATAAACCATATTACCTAATCTATATAAAATATTTTAAATAAGCAAAATTGATTGTGATATTGGATAGTGGGAAGGAATGGGGGTACTTCATCCTTATTTTTGTTTCTTTACAGTAGGCCAAAAAATAAATCTATTTTATTTACAGCTGCTCAAGACCCACAACATACATTTGTTTAAATAACAATCTGACTAAAAACAGAACTATAAAATGAAAATTGTAACGTGCAAAATACAAATAGGTTAATGTCTATCAAGAAACGTGCCTTTTAGAATATCCATTCGCCAGAGCCTACATTATTATTTTTTCCAACATTGAATCCGTTTTTTTAAAAAAGGAGGAAAATTGATTGTTTTATTTATTTATTTTGGTAAAATCTGCCACAATTCTTTTCCAAGGTATAATATGGTTTCAACTCTGAAGGACGTAGTTCGCACCTAAAGGAGCTTGGAGTCAGTTACATCATTCTAGCTAATATTTCGTTCTCTAAAAAAATTCTGTTTTCTAGCGGTCGTGTTACAGGAGAAGTTTTCTAGCGATCGTGTTACAGGAGAAGTTTTCTAGCGATCGTGTTATGGGAAAAGTTTTCTAGCGATCGTGTTATAGGAGAAGTTTTCTAGCGATCGTATTATGGGATAAGTTTTCTAGCGATCGTGTTATGGGAGGAGTTTTATAGCGATCGTGTTATTGGGGAAGTTTTCTAGCGATCGTGTTATAGGAGAAGTTTTCTAGCGATCGTATTATGGGATAAGTTTTCTAGCGATCGTATTTTGGGATAAGTTTTCTAGCGATCGTGTTATGGGGGAAGTTTTCTAGCGATCGTGTTATGGGAGGAGTTTTCTAGCGATCGTGTTATGGGGGAAGTTTTCTAGCGATCGTGTTATAGGAGAAGTTTTCTAGCGATCGTATTATGGGATAGGTTTTCTAGCGATCGTGTTATGGGAGGAGTTTTCTAGCGATCGTGTTATGGGGGAAGTTTTCTAGCGATCGTGTTATAGGAGAAGTTTTCTAGCGATCGTATTATGGGATAAGTTTTCTAGCGATCGTATTTTGGGATAAGTTTTCTAGCGATCGTGTTATGGGGGAAGTTTTCTAGCGATCGTGTTATTGTTCAAACTAAACGTAGGAAGGGTCTATCTTTTCTTCATCACAGTCGGGCTGTGCTTCTTGTGCTCAACTTTGATCACTAAATTCATTGGCTTGAATCTTTAAGCTATCTTTTGTAATAGTATACCGACTTTATTGAGAAGACGATCGAATTGGATTGCGTGTACGCCTGGCGAGGTCCAGCAGCTCTCTTTGAGGTTTTTAAAGCGTTTCTGAATGTGCATAACATATGAAAAGAAGGGGGTTGCATTAGTTTTATGTTAGTTAAAAAGCGCAGCAAAAGGGTTAAATGGTCTTTCGTCGGTTGTCAAACTGATTTTGATAATAAACCGTTTGCTGTGGAAAACTAAGCTTCGGGGCTGCATGTAGAATTCTGTAATTTTAGTCCGAAAATTGGAACAAAGTCTATATAACCAATGTTTCTTTTACTTTCTATCTTTGATGGGATAGAAGCAGTCGCAGGTAATCGTAGGAAATTAATTAGAACGAGTGGAGGTCAAAGAATGTTAATATTGACTGCTATTCGGTTTCTAAGAACACAGTATATCTTGTACAAAAATTGTAGGTGTAGTGTTCGAAATATGAGGAATCTTGAGGTTCCGGGAACTTAATACGATTCCCCTGCAGAGTGACTAATATTTCGGATAGATATCTACAAGATAACTAAGTGCCAGCCTTTGCGATTAGTAGCGTTCTCTGAGTTTTTTGTCCCAGATGTAAAAAATGACTCGAATCATATTGTTATCTTTCAAAGATGTCCCCTCGAACAGCTAGATGTTCCCTTCCTTTATTACCTTGCATAAAAGTTTGCCTATCGATTGTAGGCGTTCTTGGTCACAAGGCCGGTTTTTAACACAAAATTTACCTCCTTTTGTTTATCAGCCTTTCCTATTTTTTTATGATACCCTATAATGTCACGTGAGGGCCAGACTGGAAACTTTGCTGCGCGCCCGCAATATATTGCCCGCGCACACCTCTGCGCGCTTTTGCATATTGGCCGCGCAAAATCCCCTAGATCCCTTGACAATAGGATTTAACATTATTAACAATAAAAATAACTAAGAGTGCATGATTTCAGGCGCGCAGTCTCAAATTTTCAAAATAAACTTGCCCGCGCAAGAAGCAAAGTTTCCAGTCTGGCGTGAGGGCAGGTATTTCTTAACAAAATAGGTTTTTTGTACCGCAAAATTCGAGGATGGCACGGAATAGCGGAGACATATGCTATGTTTCATTTATTTCTCAGTTATATGTGAATTGGAATGATCCCTCAACCCAGATGAAATTAGAACCCATGGTCGAGTTAAATTCGGATTTGTTTCTTGATATCAAGAAAAAATTTTAGTAATGAGATTTGCTATAAGAAATGTACTGGTCTGTCGGGGAAGTTGATTAGCACGAACTGTACAAAGTAATGGAAGCTTCCCGTCGTATCGACTTCTTAGCCTAAATCAAAAATTATTTGCGTTAGAAATGGTGAATCACCAACCTTTGCGAAGTTCATCCATTTCACTACTGAAGTTGTCTGTAACTTTCTCCTCGTCTTCATCAACAACGAAACTTTGCTTCAGTCTTTTTCAAAATGTGGTCTTTCAATATAAGCTCCAAGCTTTGTTTTCTTGTTCCTCTCGATTATTGTTGGTCCTCCAGGGGCTACCGACTTTTTTCTCCGCCCTTCTGTCCCGATTACCGTGAGATTCGAGGCATAATAGTGTAAAATTTCAAACAAGGGGGTCGACAAAATGGCATTTACCTGCTATTAACTGATGTTGACAACTGACTGAACTGTTAGTACAAAGTCAAGTATCCTGACTCTCTTCTGACGAGCAGTCGATGCATGTTGGAGAAACTGGTGCATTTTGTACTTTCTTTTATGCAAGCGAGTTATGCTGACTCGATAGCGGCAACGTTAGTGGTATGGTATTGCTAACAAGTGTTGCTAAAGCTTGTTTCTTTTGAATATCTACTGATCTTACGTCCTCGTGTGCTTAATCTTTGCTTTAATATATTTGTTTTTGTGGCAACCTGGAAGGATTTTAAAGCAACAATCAGCTGATACTTTTAATTAGCAACTCCAAACGAGAACAGTATGAAATCCTGAGTCTCTTTAGGTTAATAAAATGTTGTGCTCAGATTATCCTCATTATCGTATCATTGATAAATATCCGCGCAAAGGTTGTTAAAAGCAATTATGTTTGAAGCTTATGCAAGTTTTTCAATAGACACATTCAATAAAAAACACTTTAAATAATACAACAATTGGGTGGCAGGTTCCACTCTGAATTATCTCCTGCCCCCAGAGACCAATGTAAATCATTTTGTCTTCCATAAACAAACTAAAGCGAGTGGGATTTTTACAAGCATCACAATGCCTGCCAAAAGTCTTGGAAGGTCAAAATCAATCATCCCCCTCTCCCCTACAGAATAATCTTGGTTTACTGTCACACGGGTTAGGATTTTAGGAAGCACCTCATTTTGCGCTTCTTTTATGATTTTTCTCTAAATTATCAGCATTGTTTTAGGGGGAAGGGGGCGAAAGTAGTAATTTTTTTCATGAAAGGAATGAAAGATATCAAATGCAGCCTGAAATTGCTGGGTGTTCCAAGTACTTTAGCAGGCATTTACCCTGGGTTCCAGTGCGTTAAATGTAGCAGGCATTGTACCTCGACTTCCAACCTGATGGTCACTTTCGCCGCGGTTTTGTATTTTGCCTTTATAGTATGAAATCTTGAGTCTCTTAAGGTTAATAAACTTTCGTGCTCAGATTATCCTTATTAACGTATCACCTTATTACTGCCTACCCCTTTACAACAGTTGATGACTTTAAAGGTTGATTCAGATACACTTTTTTTTATATAAAAAGCAATAAATTTAAGTTCAGGCTGACTGTTCTTAATTTTTTCGAAAATCTGAGGCTGGACTGTTCTTAATTTGTTCTTAATCTAATAGGCTGTAAGCAGTGCGAGTGCTAGCTTCTTCCCTCTAGGGTGGTGTACAGGCCTCATTTGCCAACAAAGTGAGTGAGAAAGCCTTAATTTGCTGACAAATTTGAATATTCGCCAAAAGGCACCCACACATCGCTAAAAATCTTCGATTTTGAGAAAAAAACGTTGTTCAAAATTGCATTTTGCAGAAGCTCAGCCTCAGCTTGTTCTTAATTTGTTCTTAGCTTTTGACCAATTTGGAGACTTGTGTTCATTAAAATTGCTCTAATAAATAAAAGTGTGTATGAGGGCTTGTAGCAAGCCCACTTCTAGATGTCATCATTCGTTTAAGAAATCTTTTGCGATTGTTTCATTTCATTTGTTTCATTTTCAATTATTCAAGCATGGTAGCCCATTTAGGAATGCTGGTTTACTAGGGGCCATGCATCAAAACTAAAAGAAAAACTAACATAAAATGGAATAAAGTACAGAGTTACAATAGATCATAAGATACACTACCCTACCAATTCTAACCCTTCTAACTTCTAACTTCTAATCTTACATATTGTATGATGTAAATCTCAAAGGAAATTCATTTTCTTTTTGGTGTAATGCGATTTTCAAGAAAAAGAACTATATTCGTTTTCAATGGCAACAACTAACACTTTGCAGTTTTTACCTTGTTGCCTTATTGCCGAATCAGACCTTCAGGAAAGTATTAGCCTCATTCGATGGTAACAAGATTGGGTCTATGTACAGGCTGGCCACGCTGCAATTTCTGGGCCTTTTGCTCATCAAACGAAAAGTAAACTGAAAAAATAATCTTCATTTTATTAATAACAGATTTTGTTCCTATATATGATGGTTTTCTTTATAGCCGCAACAATATTTGGCCAAGTTTGTGTTTTTAATAAATGCATTTTCCCCACCCGACCCCCCCACATTTTCCTTTCTCAAGAAGACACTTCCCTCTTCCTGCTCCGTTTGATAATGGTGAAAGAGAAGATGAGCATTCCTCTATTTATCTGATACACTGTTGCCGTTCCATTTTGATTTTTCAGAAAGATGTTGCGAGGTGTGAATCACTCTTTCCCAACAGCGCACGAGATTTATTTAAACCATTGGATTCTTGAAGCCGATTTCTACTTTTCCCCTTTCTTTCGTGCGAATCGAATCTTTGCCAATGTGAGCATACGTGGTGTAATATTCTCAGATTTTGCAGCGAAAGAATTCGATTCGTAGAAAGTTGATCACGGTCCTACTCTATCGCTACGAATATTTATTCGATTCGCGTGAAAGAATTCGCCTAATGGAAATCGGCCTTTAGGGGGTTTTCAGAAGTTTTTCCTAAAAAAGACAAAAAGACTATTGTCAAAGGTGTACGATATATTTGTGAAGCTTTATGCCCCTCGAGATGATGGGCAGTGAGTTGGAAAGATGACACGGTTGTTGCAACAATTTTGAGGGGAATGTTGGCTCTTGTTTCCTAGCAACAGCGTCTATCAGTCTTCGCAGGCGTTTCCTAGCAACAACACATTTCCCATAGTACCCTTCGTGCTACGTTTCCTCGCACTTCTCGAACTTGTACAATCGAACCAAACGATATTCCTGACCTTATTTGCTGCTAGTTAAAGTACTGAGAGTTGCCGCTTTGGTTGCAGAAGTTACATGGCAAGTAAACAACGCGAATGACACAAATACAGCAGTTTGCTCACAAAATGTATTAATAAACTGATAAACTGATTAATTTTGAGTTTGTCGGTTGCCATGGCATGTAAAAGAGAATAGGTCAAAATGGATGTAAATAACTTGAAAAACTGTACAGCAAAGCTACGCGATACATTACATTTATAAAATTATCAAAAAATCGCTTCACACAGTAATGTGTAAAACTCGTATTCGTTTCGTGTATTTTTAATATTCACTTTTCAAAGCATTTAATCAGCTTTGGTTTTATTGATGTCTGCCCACGGGCGTGTTCTTTATAAAATAGTTCAATGGTTAGGACATTTTTGGTAAAGGGTATTTTCTTTGTATGCTATGATAAGAGTAGTCAGGGGGATTTTGTCGGAGATGAAAAAGAAGCTGTTTGATTTAAAAAGTAAGGAAACAAATTGGTTTCCCATTTGACATCTTTTTTCTTATGTTGAAAAGTCATTAAATGAAAAAATAAAGTTTCAGAAAATGGCTTAAAATTTTTTCAGTTGTAACTATTAGGGTTCTTAATTTTAAATGGATGGGGAAAAACGAGCGAAAATCTTTTTCCAGATAAACATATGATCACGCCTTTCGCAGCATATCTTCGATCAGGCTTTTTAACAGTCTGATGAATGTTAATATTTCTACAAGTTCCATGAGCTATTTCTATATTACATTGAGTTAGCAACACCTTCAATGAACCCCCACACTCCTTCTTTTTTCACCCCCTTCAAAATGTTAAAATGCACAAAGTGCAGTCCCTTCGAAAAATCTCTTCTTCTATTTAAAGGGGAGCAATCGGAGGATATGGAAAAAAGAACACATATGGGATGTAATTCGTAAGCAATTTAATTTTATCGTAGCCAGCTAAGAAAATTTGGAATGTGTTCGATGAACGCCCTGGGCGGTTAATCTAAGTAATATGATATGTAGAAATTTTTGAGGGAATGTATATATGTATGTTGGTCTTAAAGTTGTGTATCACTCTCGGCCTTATAGCTCTTAAAAAAAATACTCAAAATTAACATGACAACAGACTAAGCGATGATGTTGAAATTCATGCTAAGCTGGGCCTGTTGGGCTAAAAAATGGCTTGATATTTCTTTAATGCCAACATAATTAATGACCCAGAAAAATTGTCACATTATCGGCTTTTTCGGCACCAAAATATCCTTTCAACTCCACTTTCTATTACATCTCTAAGAATGTGCAGAGCACTTTGATAATTATTGTTTTTCCCACATGGTACCAGTAGTGAGTGCTTAAATGTGTTAATATTACATATGAAATGTAAATATGAAATAAGCTATAGCATGAAAACACAAAATCCTTAACATTGATGACCAGTGAATACCGATTTGCGATAACAATCTAGTTCTGTACTACGTCAGGGAGTTTGGTAACCGAACCATTACGTGAACTTAATCGCTCTTCCAACGGTTCAAGTCGAATTTTCCCTGAATAAACAGGAGTATCGCTCCTCCTTCTTAGGATGTCATTATCAATTGGAGTTGTCATTAGCGTTGTCGGCGTCATTGAGTTGCTCCTCTTTCGTACTCTGTCCCCGTGAGCCTTTTCGGTCTTCGGCGTCACTTTTGTGATACTAGGATAGCTATTGTATCCTGATTTGTGTAAAGAATCAGACATGCTCCTTCGTGCCAGCAGATGCGGTTGGTGTGGTATTGTACTGGCGACTGGCATACTCGAAATACGACTCCTTCTATAGATATTGTCAGAAAATCCATTCAAAGGGTTTTGCGATTCGCGACGTGGTCCGCCACCGGGCCGAATCATCGAATCCAATGCTTTCACTTTTAACGCTGTTAGTCTAGCTTCTTTTGCAAGTTTGCTATTGCCAAGAATCCGGTCAAGGTCCCGTTTGTAAGGGTCCATTATTTTTGTCTCATTTTCAAAATCATCCATTGGTACAGAAGATAGTTGTTTCTGGAGGAGCATATCTTTTCGCCGCTCGGCAAACGTACGGTTGTCTTCTTTAGGAGGGCTTTCTTCTTCGTCTCTCGCTTTGAGCATCGCAGGGTCAAAGGCACCAAACCTCCTCGAGCGCGTGTTTCGTTCCTGTAATCCTGGCGAGAACTCCAATTGCTGAAGCGCTTGCAAATCCAGTGCTCCCTTTTCTTTTTTCAGTTTAAAATAATCTTGCTTTATAGCAAGTGTCTCCTTCCGTAATCTGCTTGCATCTTTTGCGAATTCGTGTTCGATGGAACCGAGTTCTTTCTGCAGCTTTTTATCCGACACCATTTGGTGCATGCTTCGATACTTCGAATTTAACGAGAAACCACTTGTCCGTCGCTGATCCATGATGAAACCTTATTTTTAAAATCACCGATGCGAGATTTTTTGCCTTGAGAAGCAAGCTCAAAAAAGTAGTTTTTAATTTTAAAAGACAGACTCTCTGCTTATCTAACACCTGCGAATAGCAGCCAATTTTCGTAGTATTTCTCGATTTCCGTAGTTTTGGTTAAATTTTCATGCTGTTCCACAGCTATTATCAGAATCTTTCATGGCGTAGTTGAAAAAGTCCCAATAACAAACCTGTTGTAATATTCACTTATATTTCCGCACAGTAAGCAATCATAGAGATCAACTCACCAAACTGTACCGGTGACCCTAAACATGCGATAAACCAACTGCTATTTTTGACTCCGAGCTCCGATGTTTTCCGTCTCCGTCGCTCTCCCCAATCAATGGCTGTTGATCTGGTGACTGTCTTTTATTTGTCCAGTACTGTACATGAAATTAAATTCGCGAGTAAACGAGACGAGTCAACATCGAAGACTGAAAGCTGGCACCGACTCAGTTATTAATCGCTGTCCTTTTTCTATGACAAAAATTCGACTACAAGTAGTTGAACATATAAAGAATTTCAAATTTCGGATTCTCCTTCGCGCGTTTCTGCTAGAGTTATATCACCGTTTTGGCTGTTCTGAATCACCACCGCCAACAGATTCTCAGTTTTCCTCTATCGAAACAATTCTCTGCTTCTGGTCGCTAAACTCCAACCTGCAATTCCCTGTATTCTGCTAATGCAACACCGTTTCTTTTCATTGGAAACAATTTTGCAAGTTCAAATGTCCGATCTGTTTTTCCCCTTTGAAATGATTCTATTGTCACACTAGTATGTATGAAATAAAACAAGATTAAAATGTCTAGCGAGAATGCAAACGCCTCAATCTATGAAATTCAGTGCAAATCTTGACCGCAAGTGCCGAAAGCAAAACTATTACAAAGTTTTCAAAACCATCTCATCGCCGCTTGTGTTTAAAAGTAGTTTATTCAAGCATTTTGTAGTATGTTGCGTCTTCTACCCTTCCAAATTTGCTAGAATATTCCGGTCATTGGTTTTAAGGTACATTCATTTGCTAAAGGATAGAAACAAAATAGATTTGGCTTTCTCTACCTTGATGCGAACTGTCTTGTCCAGCTTCACTATCCAAATTGGTCATTTTCTATGCAGAAGCACCTCTGATATTGCTTTTAAGTGAAAAAGAGAGTAGGTATTGGTGGCGTCTTTCTTAATCGAATATCCAACGTCTGTGTTCCAATTTCTGCTGGTGTACCTTTCATTAAGCGGATTAGATCAGGTCTCAACGACACTCAAGAACTGTCCTGTTCTTCTCAAGATCAAGCCTAGGCAAATCAAGCAAATATCATTCTTTAACCTGTTTAGAACCTTTTTTGACGCCTGAAGGTGCCTGAACACGTCACTTCCAATAGAGCTCGTTATTTGGTCGGGACTCAATATGTTATTTTAAAGATACACCACAAATGTTCGAGGTATTTTGTCGGTAAGACTCCTCAAGTGATATGTTTGCTTGTATGAGGCACTTCAAGTAACAGCACTCAAGTCTGACTGCGAATTAGCCGTAAGCTGTATTGCGTTGCAAAACAGTCATGCAAAATCGATGCTAGCGTTAGGCATTGACTGTATCACTGAGGCAACGCATCATGTACCTCTTGCATTTGTAAATGTCATCTATACTTATTGATATAGTGATCAACTTGCTGCAAACCAAATACGATAGTTTCTTTTGTTTACCTCTGATGGCAATTTCAACGCCCCTGGTATACTCCTTATTCAAAGACCTGCCTTACCCAAATCCTTATGTATTAATCCACAAAGATTGATTATGCTCTCCACAGTATTAAATTCTGTATGATCATCTCGTAAAATCTAATCCGAGCCTTCGTCGAGACAACGCGCTGAATTTTGCTTTGATTTAACAACGCACGACATAATGTATACAAACTGATCCAGCGCATGTTAAGGCATAACACTATGTAAATAACCGGAATAAAGACCCACTGGTGGCCTTTTTCTCAAGGCTAAAAGGTGGACGCGGCTTTGAAACACCGCTTTCAGGTGAAAAACTTTGTTCTCGCAACGAGGTTACTATCTTGATAAAGGCAATATGGTGATAGTTACATTTTTGAAGTGTCATTGTTTTTAAACAATGTTTTCCACATTCACTGCATTAAATGTTGGTTCCACGTTACCTTTTCACTTTATGTTCGTTGTTTGATGTTATATATTTACGTTGTACCCTCTTCTGTTTAAAAGTACCCAAAAAGAGAATATCACATTTGATTCTGCAGTTACCACGTTTGCCAATGTGAAGCTTCGCTAACCATTTAAGGACCATACACAATATCAGTTTAGGATCATGAGTGATGTTGTTGGCCTGTTGCAAGAATCGGATAATGTTTGGCACATTAGGTAAGTCTAGGGAGGTGTAAGCTCACTCTATTACATTACACGGACCAAGGAGCATATTACCAACTCGGAGGGCTGGTTAACAAGTTTCGGGGAGCTCCGCATTTTTGAAAAGCTGAGAGGAAAAAATAGGAGATATTTGTCCAAATCCCGTCTTCTGTATAAAAAATTACTGATGTCCGTGTTCCATTCTAAAGGAAAACAACTCAACGCTTTAAACGAAGATACTGATTTTAAGGAGTGGGCCACACGACACTCGTTGACCTCCACTCTCTGCTCGTTTCTGTTGTCCCCCCCCCCACAATTACTTTGGTTTTTTCTAAACCTTTGCAGAAAAAGCAGGGTGAACCAATCATGACTCTTTCACAGCAGGTTAAAAGACGAAGAGACATTAAATGTGTCTTTTAATATCAATTCAGTGAATAAATGAAAACGTGAAACTTTAAATGGTTATGACGACATGTAATCCACTACTTAAACTGTCTGGAGATTTGCAGAGGGTGTGCTGATTGCATATGGTCAATGAGTCAATTTCTACATTTGCCCGCATCCAATTGTATTCAGAAGCAATTTGTTCTTGATATGTATAAGAAAATTCCTTGTTTGATATGGATTAAACCCAGTGATTCTGTGTTTGTCGTGCACAGGTTGCCCATGATAACAGTGTTTGATGTTGGATCAACAATGAAAACAGAAGGATAGTTGAAACGGGACGGATTTCTGTCCGCATTGTCTCTCGATATGTTTTGGACATTATTTTTGTACATATGTTTGATTTTCTTGTAGAATTCGCCAATTCTTTGATCCTTGCGCTATGAAATCAGGCAGTATATTTTATCGAATTTCTTTATGCTCGAACAGCTTTATAAATAACGAGTTGATCTCTGAGAGTCCCATCTGCCTTCTATTTAATTATGACTTGGGTAGGTGCACATGTGACAGATGGTTTTTATGACCCTGCCTTGGCCTTTGCATTGTGCAAGCAACATTATAAAAGGGCTCTTTGTGCGATTACTCGTGGATATCGGCAAGCAATTCAAGTAAGGACATGTTGCAGATTAGGAAGAGAAAGAAGGGAAAGAGCTCCCCAACAACGCCCAAATTTAACGTATCTAAGGCACAAGTAAATTGAAAATTCTAATGCAATGTCATCTACATTTAATTTAAGCTAATAACGTCAGCACTGTCTCGAAATCTGAATTCCTTTTATATATTACCTAACTTTAAGCTGTACTTTGTGAATACAGCTAGAAAGACCATAAAATCCTACATTGTGAGCTTAACCAGTACTACCGTGCTTTCAGAATGCAAAGAGAAGTAAGACCTCGTCCAGTTGATTTTGAGGCATGGCGTCCGAGCCCATGCTTGATGGATCCAAAACTGACTGAAAAAGGGAATCTAAATTGTTTATGATCACTTTCTAAAATGATCCGAATCTTAGGCTGCGTTTAAACGATGCTGGACAAATGCTGATATGGATAGAAAGTTGTAGGGATAGGCTTTCCGTTTACACGAGTACTAGGCTATCCGTATCAAAATTGATTCAGTTAGCCGTACAACTTTTGATCCTTCTAGCTAGACGATCGCAAAGTTATCCGGCATCGTGTAAACGGGCTATCCGGATAGCGCAAAGCTTCGTTTTTCACAACAGAGCTCACTTAGCTTGATAGCCTATAATTATCTGTTGTTGATAAGAGCACTTCAAGGTTCTAGATCATTTCTTAAAAAGGCATCTAGGACAAAAAGCGTGCGTAAATTTCGGTAAAGTTCTGGCAGAACATGCACTTGGTGGGAAAATTATATCAATGATATTGAAATACCAGAAAAATAGATTGAAGACTTGCGAATGTGCAAAAAGGTTTTAACTGAAGCTGTTCATTGTGAAAAATTTGGTTTATACGTGCTTGTGTGAATAAGAAGTCTTTCCGTAATGAAAGGTGTACATCATCGTGTAGCATCGTTTAAACGAAACCTTAGAAGGTATCTTGATTTTTTGGTGTTTCGATGCTGACTTAGTTCTATCCGGTACCCATTAAGCACAACGTTTCTTAAGCTAATTTCCCCATCGCAGCCTGTATCAAGACATTCGAACCATATCGGATAGCTAGCACCCAGACCCCTGACAGTCATCGCTGTCAACTGTTTACACGCATGAGTAGGCAGCGCAACAATCAAACACGTTTCCCAATGCAACGATACCCGTAGAAGGCAGAATAAGCTGTATTACTAGCTTAATAAGTTTGATTTACGCATTACTCGTTCTATCGATGTTTAGAAGATATTTGTTTCCCTTTTACGGTTTTAAAACACAAAACCAGAATTCTTGCGATCAATACTTTAATGGAGATATTTAAATTATCGATAAAGGCCAATTTACCCAGATAGGCGATCAGAAGATTGCCTTTTCATGTATAAGGTTTTGTGTCTTCATTCTTCACGAAAATGATGCATTTAAAAAACATTTTTGGAATTGTGTGTTTTCAATCACAGACTGACTGTTGAATGATCAACTACCAATAAATAATTATGATTATCACGATTCATAATGAATTGAATTTTAAAGACTTTGAGCAAGTGTCAAGAGAAAGAGTGAAGATCTTTTTAACAATTAACTTAGTTGTTTTGTTTAGTTGTTTACATGGCGTAGTTATTGGGGAGACGAGCGCGCTAAGGTCTTGAAATCAGAGAGCATGCGTGATAAAAACGTAGTTCCATGCGCATGTTCCTTGACTCCAGCACGAAGGGTTGCCCCCACTGATCTATAAAAATGACTGGATCGAGCTTCCTATTGTCTTGAAACATCAAATTTTCAAGCCCGTTCAATTTCAAAAGGAAGAGGGCCCCAAACAATAGCGGGAAGCCATTCCTCAAAACCAATACTTTAACGATATGGATACGCGAGAGCTGCAATAATTGCTGAAAAAGAACAAGGCAAGAGCAGCTGAAAACATTGCTAGGGGTGACAGAGAAGGCCGTCTCCTAGCATGGGCTGTTCTCTGGGGCCCACTTCTCGGATGGCGACACTCGGGTCACATTAGAGGCTCGACCCAGTCTTTTTTATAGATCAGTGATTGCCTCATACATTAAAAAGCTTTCTCTTGCTCTTCTCCCCAACCAGTAGCTCGAATCAAACACTTAAAAAGTACATGTCCAATATAGTTTCCCAAAGGGTAGTTTCAAACTTTTAGGATAGACGCACAGCTTTTTAAAAACCTGTGAATGAAAGTTATTTGCCGTTGAATTCCTATTTTAAAAGGTTTTTTGGAAAAGATTTTCATGCTTTGCCACAACAATGATGAGAATCTTCTATAGCTACTTTTCCGCTTTGCAAAATATTACAGCCCAGCCTATAGGAAAAACAAACACGCAGATGCTCAAAATATAGTTAAAGGCCTAAAGGCACACTTGTAGAAACTAACATCTCAGTTTCTCTCCTTCTCATTGGTTGTTAAGCCTATAATTGAATGAAAGCTGCAACTAAGCTACAGTAGAAAATCCGCATAAAAGAACCTGTTTTTATAAGAACCTTGAGGCTGAAATTTAATCTTGTAAACCTCATAATTAAGAACCCCCAAGAAGCTGTTATTTAGAAAGGTTCTTGTATGTATTTTTGATTATGTATTTAAGGTATTTTTACACCCTATTCACACCGGCAAATTAAACCAGCTTAGTGTAAAACAGGTAACTGTATGTTGCATTCTAATTGGACAATCTAACAACACAAATTCATTTGATTGGCCTGAAATTTAGCATGAAAAACAAAACTGGTTTACGTGTGTCTGTTAGAATCCTTGCGGTGGAAAACATTGTTAATGTGTGCAAGGCCTGTACGTATATAAGAACCTTGTTAAGAACCTTTTAGACTGGAAATTAGAATAGCAGCCTGTTAATTAAGAACCTATTCAGGCTGCCAGAAAATACCTAGGTTTTTTTATGCGGGCTTCTACTATATTCTGTACGCAGTTTCAAATCTTTCTCAAAGGAAAGTAGTCTAATTTTGTTGAAGTTACATGCAGATGGTTGCCAAAGTAAACATCTTAACTGTATTACTAATGTAAAAGAAATTTTGCTGCTATCTCCAGCCAACTCGATTTCAACGTTAATCATTTGACAACAGTTGCATGTATATGCTAAATGACTGGAATTGTGAACGTGCTTCCCAAGCGTGAAATTGACCTGTTTAGTCACGTGATCAAAATGATTCCCTACTGCAATGTAAGCAACTGGATCAACTACAATATCCTTCAAATGCTACAAGTTTTTAAAACTATTTTAACTTTAACTGTATACAAAATGGCTAAGTTTTGATAAAGAGTCTTTGAACCATTCCGCAGATTTTAGGTGAGTTATACTTTTTACCAGTTACTCAAGACGCTCGTTATAAAGCAGTATTTTTCTTTGTTTTGAATCATCTTCTTTTTTTGCAATAGTATTGTTATATAAGAAATTGACATCTATAACGTATCATTTTTACTTAAAGCCTTAAAACCAAGACGTGCATTGGTGTAAGCGGGCCATTAATGTTGGAAGCTCGATATAATTTGAAAAATATATCAATTTTATAAAGCTTTTTAAGTTTTATACTTAATGGTTTTCTTCCTGTTTGAGATCGTTTTTTAAGTTAACAGCTTATTTTTTATTAATATTTAATGCCCTATTTGATTTGACAATGTCTTGATTGAAAACCTTGTTTTTCTCGACTTCTCTTTGCCATTCTTAGGCCAATAGGACCTGATCTTAGCAAATCGAATCAATGTTTATGTTGTTGCTGTTGCTGACTCTGATACTCCAAGTCACATCAAACGATGTTTCACAAGGTAATTATTAAGATATCCAATTGATAATTGTCCTTTTGAAAATTCTTTCCCGAAAGGCCATCATTTTAGGCAAGGAAGAACCACGTAAAGGGGATTCGATGCCACTTTGTTCAAGGCGAAATGAGGGATGAAATGTAGAAACAGAAAGAGAAGGAAGCTGACTGCTAGCCTTTTCATATAAATTCGCATTCAGCTGAGTTCATTACTGTCTTTGATGTTTTGTCTCTATGCTGTTATAAGTAGAATTTGTTGATGACTATTTTCAGTTAAAATTGATTGCATTCGCAGTTTTCTGGTAAAAAATTCACCTTAAAGAGCGTTTACATACTTAAAAAGGCTATCTTTTCAGAAACGCTAATAACAGAATATTCTCTGTGCCATCTGTAGACTTGCAAGACTTTTATTTTATTTTTGTCTATTTTGCTACTGATTCTTGTTTCAGAGTATGAATTCCTTGGATGTTGGAAAGGTACAGGCAAAATTTCAAGTGCCAGGCAATTTGCAACAAAAAGCTCGATATTTGGACCACTGTTCAGAAAATTTTCTTCCCAGCTGAGCCACGAAAAAGTCTGCCGTGATGCTGCTTCCAAAAGAGGCCTAGATACATTTGTCATAGCAAAGGATGGTTGCAGGGGAGGTGCACACACCGGCCTGGTATTCAGGAGATATGGGAAGAGTGATCTGTGCGACAGTGCCAATTCTAGAGCAAACCCAGGACGTGTTTTTGGCCGTGGAGGTATGTAGAGCAACAATTTAAGTGACATTTTTTTACCATAGATTTGTGCAGTTGTTTTGTCTTTCGTTTTGAGGATAGAGCAGAGTACTTGTGACATACGGTTGAAAAGCTCAGCAGAATAGCTGGAACATAATTTTTACCCAGTATTCATCTGATAATTCAAGGATTGGAGAGCTAGCATTGCTAAATAGAGGAAAATAATTTTTAAACAAATTTTTAGGCATTTTTGCCAGTATTTCTCCATAAAAACTTTGGTTATAGGGATTGGTTCCTTGAGACTAAAAGCTGACATTTTGCTGTATACCTAACTCAACTAACAATGACCAATATACTTTGAAAACGGACATTTAGAAATTGATCGGAAGAACGGAAACATGTTACACTGTGAAAATATAAACCTCGAAAACACGTACCGAGTATGACATGTTACCATTTTCCGGTGTATTCTCTTCAAATTTTGCGGTACTGAAAGCCTCTTTGATAACTCTTCATCATTCAATAATACATCCAAAAACCTTTTAAAGACCAACATTTTTCTAAGAAAAAAGTGAAAATAAGCAGGGATTCTTAACTTGGCTCAACCGGAAAGATTTGCTTCCTTCTTTGATATATAAATTTATTATTTTGGAAGTTGCAGAGTATTTTCAATGTTCAATCTGTTTCAGATATTTTATTGTTGATGGTAAATTTTTAGTGACAATTCTACTCATTAGTTTCTTTTTCATTTCATTTTATCATTATAACAATTTCATGTTAAGTAACGAACTTTCTTTCCAAGGTATGTATGTTTACAATGAGGAGAGAAAGAGTCCAGAACATGCAGTGTATGAACCAAAATCTTCAATTTATAAAAAGCAGGAAATCGCAAGAACATTTCAGCGTGTCAATAGAGAAAAGGTGCATCCCGAAATAATCAAAAAGGATATTATACTGATGAATAAAATATTTAACAGATTTTATGGTAATGTGTACAAGAATAGGGAATCGTATTTCATGAAAGCGTATCCGGACAGCGATCACTTCAATTCATATTACGGAGATGAGGCAGATACCTACGAGACTTCAACTAGAAGTGGTAAGAAATCTACTGTATGCTTTGAATCATGTGTTCATTACCAGCTACCTGGAAGCGAATTTGATTGGTCGACTGAGTCTATCAATGAAATGACAGCCAATCAAACACTGATTCTTAACAAATGATAAAGGCAGGTTTATGATAGACCTATCAATCAAAGGCCAATCACAGCCAGTCAGCTAAAGATATAAAACGTTTACTGTTTTTAACCGTATCTTAATTTCTCTTCCTGTAAATGTGAAGAAATGGATAGATATGGTATAACCAAAGTTAGGTAAAATTCCCAATTTTTTTCCAAAATCAAAACTTTTACAACATATTCTAGATTGAATGCAGAAATTTAATTTTGGTCACTTTCAGCAAGGCCCATAATGTCACCCATCAGCAAGGCCCATAAAAGGACCCATAGTGATGAGATATTTCCGTTGCATTAAATTCATTCTCCTGATGTCTCATGTTCATTTCTTATTCATAATTTGTGTGCATTAACAACTATATGTTCAACTTTCTGTCCCAAGCCTTTGCTATGAACAAGGGCAGATAAAATCGTTAGAATAATAAAATAATATTCTCAAACTGCCTTCAGCTTTGTTCTATTTCTTAGCATTCAAATCCATTTTTCGATTGCCTCTCTTTAAGGTAATGATAAAACTCCGAAGTTTCGAAAAAATCTTTTTGTAAATCCTGGATTTGAAGATCCACTCACTCACAGTACTTGGAATTGTCTTGGAGAGCTAAATCATGGAACAGGCGGGATAATGAGCAGAACAGCAAAACATAAACGAACTGGGAGATACGCAGGCGTCTGCCATAGCAGAAATGGTTTCTGGGCTGGTCCCGGACAGTTTGTTGGTATGGCCATTAATATATACTTCACCCTTAAAATATCTTTACTCGTACCTTTTTCATTATCACCTATTCGAAATATCCAGAGTTCAGAAAACACCTCAATGTTTCTCCGGATTAAAGTTTGCCCTATTTGCCTCACTCGAAATTTTCTTGTATCTTTTGAATAAAAATTTCTTAAAAATTGAATTTGGGTAAAATCATCTTTGGTTTCATCTATCGCTTTGTCAAGAAAAATGAAAAGATTAAGCACATCAGTTAATTCCTTTCACTTAATGTTCTCCTGTCAAGTTTTGTGTTGGCATTCCTCAAAACTACTGCATAGTTGGGTAATCTTCCTCTGGCTCACAATATTTTCCGGACCATGAAAATATCAAAAAATGCATGCTCAGGGTGGTTTGTAATGTTTGGTTTTCAATGTTAGCCAACTCAAGAGACCCCCACAATTTATGCCGGAGCTGCATGCGTTGAACTTTTTCAGGTTTCAAACAGAGGATCAGCAAATAGAAATCCTAATATTTGTTATAATCTTGATTGAACAAATATTTAGAGTTCGTCAGCTGCGAAAGTTGTTTATTTTCCAAGAGTTGAGAGCAACGTTGTTTTATTACATCTATTGAAAATAGACTGTTTGTTTACATTGGCTATGCTTTGTCACGTCTGGATGTGACAATTGTATTTGTTGGTCGTAACTAGGGACTTTACGATGGGAAGGAAGGTTTCTTCTTCAGTTTAAGTGCATTTTTCAGTATTGTTTTATTAGATATGTTTAATGACGGGAATCTAATTCGTAAGATTACAAATTGCTGTAGCAGCAAAACATTGCTAGGCTCATTTGAAATCTGTTAAAAACATGTTAACTATGAGAAGATTTTAATTCAAAATAGCCTTATTCAAAAAGAACAGTCTTAAAAGTGAAGGAAAAGTGGAAAAGAATGAATGACTGAATGATTAAAAAGCCAAGAAAGGAAGGAAAATAAAGGGAAGTAGCTTGAAAGATAGGAAATAACTGACAACAGAAGCAAAAATGAGAAAAATAGAGAAATACAGTTGAAAGCAAAATAAAGATGAATAGAAATGAATGACACAGCTAATTTTCAAGGAAGACGAAAAAAGATAAATGTATAGGAGGCCTAGTACTTGAATGAAGATGTGCTTCACTGGATAAGAAGATCATGGTCTGATACTGAAACTGTATTTTGCCAATAGTTTGTGGTGTTGTCTTTGACAGTTTGTAAATGACGCAATAAAGATTACTTTTAGATTTACGATGATTCAGAATTGCTTTAAAGCAAAATATAATTATACAGGTCACGTTGTTAAGCCAGGACATGCTTACAAAGTGCATGGATGGACAAAGCTGTTGAATGCAAGTGACGAAGATCTATACCATATTGAATTGTGGATACGGTATCAGGGAAACGAGGTTAAGAATAGTACCGAAACGAGAATATTGCTTGCAAAAAGAGACCAATACAATAACAGTAAGTTTGTTTAAAATATTTGTTTGGAAATCGTATCCTTTTAAGCTAGTGTTTCAAAAGAACACGTTTTGGCTATCTTCTGTGCTCAGCAATATGTAGGTCTAAATACAGTAGCTACAATGCCTGTGAGAAAATGCGGTTCAAATAACACCTTTAAAGGTGTATTATGCATCATGAATTTAGGAATCTGAGATTGCAAATGTCTTTTATATTCTAGATTTCGTTTTGATACAATTCACTTTGATTAGAATCGTTACACGAATACTCTTAGACCATGCCTTTATCCCAGTTATCAACATAAACCAAATTTTCTTTTTCAAGTTGTTCTAGAAAAATTTGTGCTATACTGGTGTCAAATTAGTGTTCTCGCGCACTGTTTGATGAATTCTTGGTTTGACTTCCAAGTTTAAAACCGGCATTTTCTACCGAGTTTTCCATAGTGTTTTCCTTTAAGCTTCTTTAATTTGCTTATTGGTATCATTTGAATGCTTAACTACTTCGGAGGGTGTCTCAATCATGCCTAAATTTGTTTGCATCTACTTTTGGTACATGATGCAAGCTAGCTTCATTCTTGTACTTTGAAATCTGAATGTCATCTTATTAAGCGCAATTGCAAGGAGTTTACATATTGTCAAAAATATAGTCATACACAAACTGGAGAACTTTTTTGCAGATAAATGGTGGCAGGAATGGAACGGTCAATTTTTCCTTCCATCTCACAAAAAAGGATTCAACTATGTGCAGATCTTGTTTAAAGGACCAAAACACCACGTTGACATTGTTATCGATGACATGGTCCTTGAGGAGATGCCCCTAGAAGAAGATTGGTTGCAAGAAGTGAAAGCAAGAACTGAAAAACTGAGAAAAAGAGATGCTACAATAAGGTACTTTTATAATTTTTGTTCTTTTGAATAATTTAGGACTTTAAAATAGTCAATAACATGAAGTATAATGCTATGTAGTGCAATTCAATATCAATTCCATTCGGGCAATTCAATTCAATTCAATGTAATGCGATGTAGAGTATTGCAATTCAACACACCGCAATGCATTAAAAATCGGTGTAATGCAGTGTAGTGTAAAGCAATACAATTTAATGAGATGCAATTAAATGCAATACAGTACAACATATTATCAAAACGCAGAAGAATATATTTTTACTATTTGAAAACACGACTTTAAATCATCGACTTAGGTTTATCCTTGCTTTCTGTTATTGCACTTTCCTTTCTTAAAATATTAGAACGCTGGATACCGTCATGCTCTTCCTTACTCATCAATTATTTTGTGCAATAGTCTAGCCTCTTTTTTGCAGAATAAAACTCGATTCGGATATAATTCCTCCAGAGATGATCAGCCAGATTAGGATAAAGGTCTGTTATGAATCTTGTCTTTGTTAGCTCCAATATCTCTTTTTTTCTGAACACAGTTACTTAGAAAGATGGAAGATGACTGAACCTATACAATATACAAACCACCTCGATCATTGCCTTTGCACACAGATATTCCGGAAAGACAATGTCAAAGATATTACAGCGATTGTTTCTAAATAACCCCTTTGAAATATTATTGAGAATTGCATTTCAAAAATCATTTTGAAATTAATTTTAGCTTTTCGTCTGATGCTATTCAGAGTATAAAACCTCAGAAAATAGATGAAAACTCTAAGCTAGGAAATATATGTACCAAGTTGTAGATCAAAATAGGCCATTCAGAGACACGAGCACATGACGTTGAGGTTGCCCAATCATTGCCGCTTGCCTATTGAAAATGTCACCAATAGAGTCCAAAGTGAAAACAAACTCTTTCTGTCTCGATAATAGCTTCTTCATGTTTTTGTAGATTTATTCTAAAATGCTAGATGAAAAAACGACCAGGCTCTGCCAATATTAAAAATGAAGCAGATCGCCATTATAGTTTTTGGCACAATCTGGGTTTTCATAGCCATTTCTTAATTCTGTGCCAGCAAACAATTGATTCAAGCACTTTGTAACCACTGTTAAGTCTTCTATCCTTTGCAGAGGTGAAGTAAAATTACAATAATTCTTCTCTAGGTTACTCAGAAAAGGCACCATTTTGGCTTTGGCTCTGCTGTGAACCATTCCCCTTTAAAGAAAATTCCGGAGTACCGTAGATTCTTTGTGCAGAATTTCGAGTGGGGTGTTCCAGAGAGTGCAATGAAATGGAACATTATGGAAGCGAAGAAGGTCTACTTTTGTAATGTTTGTCACAGCATAAGACTCTTATATTCTAAATAGGTATCATGTCTTATTAGGAACAGATGCTGAAGAGCCAGGAAAGGATTGAAGAAAAGAATGCTTTTGGCCGAATCAAAGAAGAATTGAAAAAATGTTGCAAGGGTGTCGCTCCCCTCCCCCTCCTAGTAAATACTTACCTGATAGAAACCATGTGGTTTGAGAGAGACAAAACAATGAATGATTACCTCATTGACTTGTAATAATTATCATAGATTGATATCTAAATAATATCAGGTAGTTATGGTTTGATCCAATAAGTATATGACATAAACACAGAAGTTTTCTTATTCGCGCTACCAAAAGTCTTTACCTCACAAATTAACTGCACAGAGTTATAAAGCTTCAACATTTGATATTTTCTACTATAATCTTACTAACATTTCAACGTGATTCCTTGAAAGAACGAATTCCTAAGAAGGGAATAAAAATAAACTGTGCTTGCTATATTTTGTTGCAGTATATAAGTTATTTTCCTGAAAATAACTATAGATAATTTATATAGTATGTTTAATATACTATTGATGATTTTTTTTATAAAACATTGTTTAATTTTAGGGAGAGCACGTGCATTCATTGATGGACGATTTTGTGTCAACATTGAATAAATATAAGTATGGCTAGCCTCTTGATCTCCCAACTTAAATGAGATAATGTTTATTTGAAGAAAAAATGTATGTTCTCTTTATCTTTAAAATAGATTGCCCTGCTCTCATTTAAAGTCCCGAATGGTGAGGGAGTTAATCAATGCTTATCGTGTTTTGAACAAGATACACGTTTTCATGTTTACAATAAAGAAAGAGTCAGCAATTTCTATATCGTAATGAAAATTCATCTTGTAATACTTTCGAGTTAAGAAGTTTTCGTTTCTTTGCTGATTGTAGCACTATTACATGTCACACCCTTGTAAATATATCATTTTCCCAGCTTTGCTCCAAAACAAGTTGGGTTTAAATAGACATTTCCTCTAATTACGTCATGGCGCAATGCATTCTGGTACTTGTAGTTAAACCCGCGAATATTTGTTTATGTTTTGTACGGCAATCAGGCGAAGTTCTGTTATCATCCAACGCTCTTTGCTCGAATAATCAAACAAATTATGGAAAATACGGCAGAATAGACCGAGCAGCACATCCCAAGGTTTTCACAAAGTTCTGCTCATTTATAATGGCTAGCTCCTTTCTAACCTAGAGCTGCCCCCCCCCCCCAACAATTGTCCAACATCATCTTCTCTGTCGAAGAATTAGACTTTCAGCCTACTTCATCTTTACGATACAGACACAATGATATCCAAATTTTTGTAGCATCTCAATGCGAGGACACTGTATATTTTGGGATGTCGGTACAGAAACACCAAAATGGCTGGACAAACTCAGCAAAAAAGAGTTGCGAAAAGCATTGGAGAACCGTATTGACGACACAGTTGGAAAGTACAAGAAAAGGTACCAAAATAGTCTATTTGGATATCACGATTAATCGTATCGATCGTTGTAACTTCAGACCTTAGTTGCAACGTACATTGTTGATTTTAATCTAGAATTGCACACTGGGATGTCAACAATGAGATGGTTCATGGGGCCTACTTTGCCGAGAAATTGGGTCCAGAGATCCGTGATTGGATGTACAAGACAGTACGGGAAAAAGATCCAAACAGCAAACTGTTTATGAACGACTTTGATGTTGTCGCCAATGGCATTTATACCCAGGTATGTAAACGATGCACTGAATTGTTCTGTTCTGCTGTTTGTCCATCTATGTTGTCACAGGCACAGGCCTAAGCCAAAAGTTGATTACACTAATCCCAGTAAAAACACTGCATAGCAAATGCTTTTTTGGGAGAGAAGCCCACCAAAAATCTGCAAAACGTAAATCCTTCTGCTACCTTGTTTGGTCATACGTATGAAAATCTCATCTCACAGAGAGGTCACTTTAGGTCGTCGAGGTATTTCAGATTTGCAAATATGTGTAGCACATGGAATTCGCCGTTATCTTGCAATCATGTTGTCACAATATAACGTCTTTCATTCTTTGTTATTAATCACTAATGAGTAGGACAATGCTTTCTTTTGTTCATTACACCTCTTAAAAAAGAGTTTGTTTAGAAATATAATTGTGTGACAGTTTAACCTTATCATCATGGAGTGTGCATCCTAAGTTCTTGAAGTTGAACTAGCATTCATATATGCCTTCGAACCTACATATGGGGTAAAACATTACCCTATAATCTGAGTGGGGAAGGGGCATGACGTTTTGTGTTGCATCCTGTCCCAAAAGCCCTTTTACTAACAGTAAAGAGCGGTGCTACCAATAGAAAAAGCCTATAGCTAATTTTCATTACGAAGCGACTATTTCAAAGTCAAAGAATCAAATTATGAAGCGGAATGAAATGAAGCTGCAAATCGCTTTTCTACAGTGAATTCTCTAGAGATAGGGAACCCAAATCAGTTAATTATCAGGGGGACTAATAAACAATGTCTACATCTTCCTTTCTTTGTTATGCTATTCCTTCTACGTGGCTTGTAGTAAAGTTGCTTATTTTCTTTCGGAATTGTCAAAATGATGACACTTGTAAACTGGCGTTGTAAACTGGCGCTGTAAACTGGCGTTGTAAACTGGCGTTGTAAACTGGCGTTGTAAACTGGCGTTGTAAGCTGACGTTGTAAACTGGCGTTATAGACTGGCGTTGTAAACTGGCGTTGTTATCTGGCGTTGTTGTCTGGCGTTGTAAACTGGCGTTACTATCTGGCGTTGTAAACTGGCATTGTAGTTAGCTTAAATTCGTTCATTCGCTTAAAATATTATTCTGTTTACGGGCATTATTTTGTTACTTTCAATTAGTTTTATTTCAAAAAAGAATTTATCAGTTTACGAGGCCCCATACACCTCGAGGCGCTGGGGCAATTTGCCTCCCTTGCCCTCACCCTCTCGGTGGCCCTGACGGGCCTAAAAAATTACTTTGATGATAAAGACAATAGACACAGTATCCTTATCAAATTTTCGATGTTTCTAATAGAGTTCAAAGGTGATGACGCCACGAGCACCTGTTTAAAAAATATTGAATTTGGACAACATAACCGAAAGTCAAGTGCAAAGTTAAAATTAGCTGAAAGATTGCCGCACGAGCACAGGCTCTTGTTCCATCAAATCACTGTTATTTGGTCTTTGTTCTGAAATCGAGGAACCAAGCCAAAACAACAGTAATCTATTAGAAAAAATCAATTCTTTCACTTTCTGTATCGCCTGCAATTAACATGTTTAACTGATTTTGCATTGAGGTATGTTATGGTTCTACTTTAGGTTATTTCGTCAATGTTAACAGGGTCTTTAAATGAATTTTCATGACGTCAAACTTTTTACTTTGTTATATGCCTGGGCTCTTGACTCATTAGTAAGGGAAAATTTCCGGTAATTTGAGGGAAAGCAAACTCTCTGCAATTTGGTCACGGATCCTTAGCAATTATCCCTTACTCATTAAAGACTAATGTTGAACTTTATTTTTCACAGCAGAATCTTTTAACGTAACAATTATTATAAAGCTGTCACTCTTTTATTCTAGAGCTATCTTGAGCAAATAAAGGGTTTCAGGAAAAGAGGTGTTCCTGTCCATGGAATAGGGGTGCAGGGGCATTTCTTAGGATGGATGCACCCTTCTATTATCCAGGTATCTCACTTTTGTTTACTTGAAAAGATAACATATCCAAATGAGTTTCTCTATTCCTTATTTTTCAATTTCAGTCATTATTTATTTCATATGATGGTATTTTTTGGTAGTTATTTGTACACAATGTAAGATTTGTTTTTTCCACTTGTTTTATCTACTTAATCGGCTTCTTTTGAAAAGGCATGTAGGTAAGGCCTTGGATTCATCAATTATGACGTCATTCCATAGGGGTAAGGCTTGAACAAAAAGTTTCAGATGTGTCAAAACTGCTAATCTTGGTTTCACTATTTAATATTGAAGAATTTTTAATTTGGATATTTTGATGAAACTAGATGGGATAATAAGCATGAATAATTTTAACTCTAACTGCAAAATAATTTTACTTTTGCTATTACTGCTATTAAGTCCTAGAATGTAATTGGGTTTGAGTATAAAGTATGGTTTTATAGCTGTCACATATTTTAAAGTGAAAAGGATATTCATTAACACTAGGAAATTTTCCTCAGGTAAGCTTTTTTACAGGTTAGAAGCATAGTCGTGATAAAAGAATGAAGATAACGATAGGAGTTAAGGTATTAAATGGTTCAGGAGGGGAGAAAACTTTGCCCCTTTTCCTTTGATATGATCAGGCTTTTTCAATCTCTAAAATATTTATTATATCTCTCATCATTCAGGAAAGACTCGATATTCTAGCAAAAGCAGGCCTTCCTATATGGATCACGGAACTCGACATCCTTGAAAAAAACGAAACAAAGAGAGCCAAAGCATTGGAACACGTCATGAGAGTGGCGTTCAGCCATCCCTCGGTTGCTGGAATTATCCTTTGGGCATTTTGGAGCAGCGCTGCGTGGAGGGGTGCTGATACAGCGCTCATAGATGACAATTTCCGTGTAAGTTAAATCTTCTTTTCAGTTAAGGAAAATCCTACAAGCAGCTTTCGATAAAGATGGTGGGTGGTTATTATTTGGGATTTGAGGCAACCCCCCTTACCCCCGGTTTGAAAAGGATATTTTCTTAAAAGATTTGATATTTTTGCATACGGGAGAAGCAAACGGATGTCAAAGAAACAACTGGGGTAGTGCTAATTTTCATAGCATTAGCCTTCGCGTTACTGTTTACAGCCAATAGTTAGACATCTATTTACATTGTTCATGTTGGCCAGAATTTCCTCTGTAGCTATCATCAGGTTTAACGTAGCCAACATTACAAGCTCTGCAATCTCACGTTTTTTTGTATTTCAATGCTAAAAAGTATCAATGTAGAATATACGAAACAGACCAATGTTCTTGGGTCTCCCTTTTTAACAAAACTCTCGCTGTGCCCCCCAAATGAAAATGTTGACTACAACTTTTCCCCCTCTAGCAACAGTTACTTCAAATGTTATTTTGGAAAGTTTGCATAATTATAATCCCGTAAGCTTATTTTTTTGGCAAGTGGGGACTGTTTTTAATAAGCAAGAAGAGTATAGGTTTCAAATCTTTGATTGGCTGAGCGACCAATATTCTCTTAACCCCATTAGCCAATCAGAATTCAAGAGTATGACAACAAACATGCCTCGCAGTTAGATTTAGGCCTATTTTACACGTTTTTACCACTACTCACAAAAAATGAACGTGTGAAATGTGCTGAAAGATAACCTAAATTCTTTTTTAAAAATTGAATCTTTGACACTGCAAGAGCAAGCAATCGCAAACATGTGAAAGTTTTTTCGATATCGCCCGCACTTGAATAGAAAACACACTTTTTGATAACAACCTATGTCTGTCCTGCGACTCTCTATTATGAAAATGACAAAACTGGCAACTTCATTGAGACACAAAATGCGAGCTTAGGCTGAGCAATTATTCTTAAAATATTTTTTAAAATAGGATGATTCTAAGCCTCGATATTCTTAAGACAATATTCTTATAGAAAGAGATCTAAACTTATAAAGTAGCTGCTCGAGTATTGATTATGGTGTACAGAATCACAGTGGCATGTGGTTATGCTTCAGCAATGCTTAAATGTCTTTTTACATCCATGACTTACAAGGATGCCCCAAAAAGACAACGTAGCACACCTTTCGTCATTGCGCTTTGATTCACATACCTTGCTTAAGAAAACCCCTCATTTCGTGAGATATCTTTGGAGGAGTTTTCATTTCAGTGGCTAGGGGAGCTTCCCAGTTTGTGTCAAAATTTTGTAGTTAATATCGACTTACTGGCACCCAGGGTAAGATTCTTTGTAAGGTTGATTCATTTCAAAGCTTTATTCACTGTTATGTATCTGTTATGTTGTATGGTATGGTCCTTGCTCAAGTTTGTCCATCCCAACCGATATCTAAAGCTGTCGTTGAGTTGACTTGTCGTGTCATTGCACAAAAGCGTAGAATATATCCTTTAAACATGTTTCAGGTTTTATGGCTAAAACAAACAAATGCTAATTTTCTCGAACTATTAAAGCTATGATTTGTAGATTTTCCGCACCAGCAGATTTTACCTCATTTCTTAATTTTCATTCATTTCGTCACATGTATTTGCTTTCTTTCTCATTTTTCAACCAATTTTTATCAAGAATTTGGAGCTCCTTTCCCACTTGACGAAAATCAACGCTTGAATCAGAGGGTACAATGTAATTAAGGTGTCTCCCGCGTTTAGTACAGGACGTATGTTCTCAGCAGTGATTGGCTCTGGGCTGTTTTTCAAATAAGTGGGCGGCTCACTCTGGTCCTGCCTCATTAACAATATAGCATGGTGGTCCTTTGTTTTGGGGGTATTATGCTGAAAAAAGCTCATTTTACCCAAAGTAACTTAATATCTTTTGACAAAAGTGGCTTTTATAAATCTTATAAGCGATCAACAATTCGTTTAATTTCATTTCAATTTCTTTGTTTAAAAAGTTGAAGGTTGCCAAATATTTTGACCCCACTGGCACGAACCAAGCACATGTGTTCCTCATTTCTCTTACTGAATGGGCTTGCTTGCCAACTCTACTTTTCTTTAATTAGGTTTCAATAGAGATCCAGAATTAGCTTACATACTCTGCCACTACAAAATGACACAAAATTTAATTCATCTTGTCACTTATTTCAATAACTGTATGCAGCTGATTCTTGCAATTTGTCGCAACTACTTTGAGTGAGCTTCCTGGGAACATGAGCTTCAGCTTTTCAATGTCAGCCTAAATGTATTCTCATTGACCAGGTAAATTATAAAACATTATAGCCGAAAATTCTCAACTCATTTTACGTTTTCAAGAACGATTTTAGTTGCAGCCCTAATTACAAACTCTTTTCTTTATAAGAGCCAGTAAATTTAGGTTCAGGCTGACTGTTCTTAACTTTTTCGAAAATCTGATGCTGGATTGTTCTTAATTTGTTTATAAATTGACTGAGTGTAAGCAGTTAAATTGCTAGCTTCTTCGCTCTTTAAGTGTTCAGGCCTTCTTTGCCAACACAGTGAGTGAGACAGCCTTAATTTGCTGACAAATTTGAATATTCACCGAGAAATCCAGGGGCAAAAAACTTCAAGAAAATTTCGTACACTTGTGAAATGTGAAAATCCCATTGTTTTATCTTAAAATCCCTGGAAAGCCTTTTGTTTTAGGGAAAATCTCGTACGCTTTGCAAGAGTGAATTGCCCCTCGCTAAAAAGCACCCACACATGGCTAAAAATCCTCGTTTTCGAGATAAAACGTTAATTTTTTAGAACAAACATAATGGAATTTTACCAGTAGCTCAACCACAGCTTGTTCTCAATTTGTTCTAAACTTTAAATAAATTTTGAGGCCTGTGTTCTTATAAAGTTGTTCTTATAAAAAAAGAGTGCAGGTTGAAGTTTGTTTTATTTGGTCAAATTAGATAACTTTTTATACAACTGGGACATTAAGTTTTTACATAGTTGATATGAAAAAAATGGTTCAGAATATTTCAATTTCATTACAAGCTGTAAGAACAGAAACCAAGAGGTTTTACTTTGGGTATGTGACCTTAAGGCCATATGCACAAAGGAAATACAAAAGTTTTGCTGTGCTGCTGAATTTGATGAACAGGCTCAGTTGAAATTTCTTGTTTTCGTCAATTTCATTTAGACAAGAGAATCTGATTTTGAGAAATACAGACATATAACATCTTATCCCTAAAATCCTATGCCAAAGTTCTCTCACACCATGTCAAAAGACAGGCTTAAAAGAGCTGTAGAACGCTTTTGGTGTAAACAACCGGACAGCCCTGCCTATACGGCATCGAGCATTTTATGACAAACCAGTAACCAGTAATTTTCTTTAGAACAGGTAGAAGATATTGTGAGGCCAGATTCCTATCAATTTATGCTATAGATGTATCAAGCCCTTTGGCATTCGTGTGATTCATATGGAAATGAGATTATTCAAGAAATTTATTAAATGATATCTAAATGTGCTTTTATAACTATTCAGAGGCGGATCCAGAGTGAGTTCCTTGGTGCACAGAGCTCAGTCAGTTTTCCAGCATATAGCTTAAAATAGTGTTGCCTGAAACAAGTAACCTAAAAATTCTAAGTTTTATCATAGTCTCTTCAAAAGCTTAAAATTGCAATGTTCTCTCCTTTCCTTCCTTCTTCTCTGTCGGTCGTGATTTGGAAACGATTTTCCAGACGCTGTGGAGGACAACAGCACTCAATCCTAGAACTCGGAAATAAACGTTTTGTGCCTCGGAAGTGAATGAATTGAAAAAATGAAGTTTTTGTTTGGAACACGGATGGAACTCAGCCAGACCAGCATCTGGAAGTCGGAAATGATACCATATTTGCAAGAGATTTGTACAACAGCCAGTAAATGATTGGCTACCTATTGCTTCTGTTCCGTTGTTGAACTGTAAAACATTGAGTTAGAAATGGCGGCTTCAGATGTCTTATTTTCGCGACCCTCGCAGCATTCTAGCAGATTATTAAGTATTTGAGATAAAACCAGGAGATATCGTTAATTTTTCAGGAGTGTTAACTACCTTTGCTTTAAATTGCAGTCTTTGATGGCACGGAAAACCTATGCTCAGACAGAACGCCATATTTTGATGAATAGGCGGTTGTCTACGGAGACAAAACAACAAATTGCGAGCAAAGAAAAGGAAAAACTTTACTGTGGCATCCAAAACAAGCAAAAGGGTGTTGAGAAAGGGAGGGGGTTGCAAATATTTTCACAGAGGCACTGTTTTTTGTCGTAAAGAAATCTAGAATCTAGATTCAGTGAGTGAATAGTATCTACTCTTGAAAGTTTGCAGAAATTTAGAAGTGGCAATGTTTAAAACTAATAATAACCTGAAATGTTATCTTCGGCCTATCTGTGAAATGCTATTTTCGCCACCAAGATTTTTAGTTTCATTTTTTTCAGTCTTCGCCCATTTTACCACCTTTTTCTGTTCATTTTCCAAAATTGTCATGTTGCAGAAATATTTTTAGTTGGATGTAATATTGGTATCTGCAACAATGTGTCTTTCTGTTCATTTCAATATTTTCTGTTGTCCTACTATGCAACCATCCTTCAATGCTAAGTATATCAACAAATGAAAACAATTGACAAATATTCAATGCATATTTGCAAAACTGTATCACCGATAGCTTATTTTTGGAATGGTTTAATATTTGGTTGTTATAAGGCAATGTTTCAAGAAAAGAGCCTCCAGTTTCATCCCTAACAACTTTTTAATTCGCTTTGGCCTTTTTCTTTCTCGACATAAACAGAGCATTACGACACTCGCTTATCCATATCATTCAAATATTGGCCTTAAGGAATTGCTTCCCTTCTTTTGTTAAGCTCATTCTCTCTTGACGTTCTTTTGTTTTTGGACACTTTGTATTAGATTCTAATACATATAAAGAATCATTTCAACTTCAATGTAAATAACACAAATTTTTTAAAAGACATTTTATTGTAGCAA